AATAAACAACTTTGGCTGAAACTGGGTTACTTGGAATTATTTTTGTGCTATGGGAAACGAGTGCCAAGGCCATACTCTCTCCACTCAGCCTCTTTACGTGCACATCAAACAAGAACGGACGCCCTACTTTCTCAGGTATGGGCATGGAGTAAGGTGATTTTGCTCTCCTTCCCCTCCAGCACCGCAGGATTCCTGCCTCATGACATCTGGCACCGGGATGCTCCAGAGCCCGTCAAACCCACCACGAGTATAAAACAGTTGGGGCTGCGCCTGCCGGGAGGGCTCAAGCCCAGCCCGCGGGGCCAACTCGGTCTCTGGCCGAGGCCATCAGGCTGCCGCGAGCAGCGCTGCCCTGGGAGCGTCCGCACAACCCTCCTGCTCTCCCCTCGGCTCCTGCTCCTCCCCTATCTCGCCTCCCTAGTCTAAACTACAGCATCTTTGCAACAACAATAGCTCAAAATCTTTAAAAATGCCAAGCCTCTCCTGCGAATGGCTTTAGTCAGGGAAGGCAGCACAGGCACTGCCCGAGCCCCCCAAGGACGCCCCAGGGTCAGGCACAGCTCTGTCCGAACTCCCCTGCCAAGAGGGGAACACCCACCCTGCCCCGGCCCCCTCCGCTCCCCAGGCTCCGGGCAGCGTCCCTAGGCGCAGGCTCGTCCCCCGCCCCTCCCTGTCCCCCCAGGCACCCAGGGGAGGCGAGCAGGGGGCGGACGAGGTTTGGGAACCGGGTGCGAGCCTCGCTCGATGAGGCAGCCGTGCTATTCCCCATCAGCTCTTCAGCAGCATCCGCCACCTCCGGCGCTGCTGGGAAGGGACACGGCGAGGGAGCAATCTCCCACCAGCCCAGACCAGGCAGCTCCCTCTGCGCCCGCAGCCCTCCCAGATCGCTGCGCACAAAACCGGCACGTTAGAAGAGTCTCTACAACAACTTTACCTCCCTGCCGATGGGCTCAGATGAATGCAAGCTTTTAAGTCGCAGTCAACAACCCACCCCACAGTCACGGTACAGTGATTTTGCTGAAATAGCGAGGGCCTGCTTCCTGCTTCAGAAAATAAACTCTTTGGGGCAGGAACCAATTTTCTGTTAACTGTACATGCAGAGTCTGGCACTGTCTATTTCAAGCTGTTAGCCATTAACAAAAAGGGAAACAAATGGTCATGCAATGGCTATTCACGAGTCTGCCTCTGCTCAGCATGAGAATAAGCTGCTTGCTCATCTTGTCCTAATTCCTAGGCAGGTAGAGATTCTCCTTTTAATTACCAGAGAAACCCAGCGCCCTCATCACCGCTACCCCAGCTGTGGATATGGTTTGTGAAACGAATCCGTGACGTGGGAGAGGGACCACACCATGTCGCTGCCCCAGCAAAGCCAACCCTCCTGAACCGCCTGGGCTCGTCCCATCGGCTGCAGAGAACCGCGACGGCCGGGACGCTCACTGCACGGACAGACACACCGCCGGACCCAGCAGCTCCACTGCTCCGCCCGCACCGGCATACTCCACCCCTGCTCTCCGATGCTCTCCAAGCTGGGAGCGTGCACCAGTTGGCAGGGAGGGGAACGGCTGTGAAGCCTGGGCACAGCATGGGCGTACGGAGGAGAAGGTGCTGCTGGCTGTAAAAGCCCAGAGCACCAGGGTGGCTAGAATATGGGTTCCATCTGTCTTAAGTAACTTCTCATACACTTGGTTTTAATTTCAGGATAATTTACTCTCTTAATTTAAGAACAAGCTGAGACATTTGCCATCAGCTGTTCTTTATTTAAAGATAAATGCACTGTTTTTTCTTTCATTGAGTTTAACACTGCCATGATTTTTTTTCTCTTTTTCTTGCCTGCAAACAATAGAGCAGCTTTCTCATACCACTCCAAAGCAGAGGCTCTTGCTTTGCAAACCTCTACTTCCCGGGTCTAAACTTTAAACACACTCTCCTATTTTACCCAGTGGTCCTGCTCTTTGCAAAGCCAATCACCCAGGCTCTTTACAACGGGGATGTCGGCAAGGCATCAGCCTCAGATATAATTACCCAGTTGACGGCACCGCAGATGCATGCCTGGAGGAGACCCCTCTCCTTCCCGGCCGATCCAGATACTGTCTGACGTGCACGTAGGTAAGAAGTGGAGTTACAAAGGTACTCGGCACCCCTCTGCTGTGTCAGACCAGCACAGGAACGCCAGGAGATCAGTCTGGGCAGCCGGGGCTCTTGCCGGCTGCTGTAGCTCCCGCTTCACTGCGCCCCAGGGACACGCTGCTGGAGCACCGTCCCCTTCGCTGGCAACAGCCCCCGCGGCGCGGGCTCCCTCCTGTGCACCTCACGCCAGGCAGAAAGATGCTTCTGCCATCACTGAATCCTCCTGCCCATCACCTGGGACTGCAATGAACATCGGGGCAGAGGGGAAGAGCAGTTCTCCAGTCTCGGCTAAAAGTAAAGATTTACGGAGAAAGATCAGTTGCTCAATCCAGAGAAGTTATTTAACTAAAAGCCTGTTGCCATGTGAGTTGTTGTGCCTAGAGCAGCTTTCTCTTCCAGAAAGCAAAGTGATACACGCAAATGTCTGGAGTAAGATTTACGATTGCAAATGTGAAAACCCATCAAATGCCTTTTGGCAGAGAGATATCTCCTTGTATTTCAGGGCATAAACCAAATTCTAACAGTTGGGGGACGAGGCCAAGCTTTCTGAGAAAGCGAATCCCCCAGGGTCCCACGTAACCACAGGGTCTCCAGTGCTCTTCTGTGAAAACTCTGGTCCCCAGCACTGTCACCCGCGGGGCTACGGCAAGAGCTGAGCCTGCGGGTCCGGTGCGGGGACTGCTCTGAAGTTCCCACTTTATGCCCCCATTAGAAATAATCAAAGAGGGCACAGCTACAAAGCTCTCAGGAACCAACACTAAGCCACTATTAATAAACTATCTTTGCAAGGTCATTTTCTTAATAGTCACCTGTATTTACCAGAAGACTAAAGAAAACTAAAGGAAAGCACCCAGCCCCAGTGGTGCAGTGCAGGCTTCAGCAGCAGCTCCAGCTCCTTCTCGCGGCAGCGACTTCAGCAGCCTGCGGCGGCTGGCAGGCAGGCTGGCTCTGGGGGAAGAGCAAGGGGGAGGCTCTCCCGGGAACCAGGAACAATGATCTGCAAGGGAAACCATTACCAAGCCAGAGGAACGCAAGCATGGAAGTTGCAGATGTTGGTGCACTGACAGCACGGGCAGGTCACAGCTCCGTACAGGAGACAATCTAGCAAGTAGCCTAGAGCAAGCCAGGGCTAAATGACGGATGAGCTTTCAAAGTAGACAGGTATAGGACTGTGCAAACTGAAAAGGCTTTATGTTAAAGACGCTTAAATCCAGCAAGCAAAAATGTTTTAATTGCTCAGCTCTCTGGCAACAAGACAAAGCTGTAACGTTTTAACTCCTGAGCCTGACTGAAGTCGAATTGTCTGCTTCAGGACTCAAGCACTGTCATGTCCGACTACCCTCCGACAGATAGCTTGCCCGAGCGCAGGCTGAAGCAGCCAGCAGTGCCAGTCAGCGGCACAGCGCAGACAGCCGCCCCCCAGGGCACCCGGCGACACGGGTGCGGGCGTACCGGTCACCCACAGAGCAGCACGGCTGCGCAGGGCTGGGGGGAGCTGGTCTGTGGACGTCGAGGGGAGAGAAAAGCGATCCCACCTGGCGGGCAGCACGGGAGACAGGCGGCAGGCTGTGCCAGGAGGGCCTCAGCTTTCAAACATCTGGTTATTCCACCTTCTGCTCTTCCCACGGGTTTTTAAGGCCAGTAATACCCAAAGGGTAGCGAGAAACCCACCGCTGAAGCTGGAGCATCACGGTGCTGCAGCACCACCAAAGGCTTCTGCACACCTGACTCTTGCATACCGTCAGACCAGCCACGAGAAGAAACAGCATTTTAAAACATGGTGATGGTCTTCGAAAGCAGTTCACTTCAACTTGTTGTGATCTTGAAAACTGGCAAGAAACTGTTGAGTTGGCCCAAAGACATTTCTCTGGTGCAGGGCAGAGATGCCTCAGCAGGTCAGGATGCAGAACAATAATCCATATGGAGAGTGACTGAAAGGGAATCGGAACAGACTGCACAGCAGTCTGGCTGTTAGCCCTCTAGGAAATTTGCCAAATACTGTGTTATTTTTTCATTTAGCTCTATGCTATTTAAAGGCAATCCCATCAGGAATGCAGCCTAAGGTGTCCCAGTCCCGTGCTGCCAGGATCACTGCACAGAGGCAGCTCTGAACTGGCCAAGGTGGCCATCAGATCTCATGCAACCTTGGACGGATGAGGAAGGTTACCATTTCTCAGGGAGGGATGAGGGGGACACAAAAATGACTCCCTTCCTGGATGGGATGGGACAACAGGAACCCCTGGACTGCCAACTGACTTGGAAGCGTGTCGTGTCGAAGCGTTCTTCTGTTTCAGGGACAAGCGTGGTATCACGAGGACCAAGCCCTAAGGCCTGTAACTCATCCGAGCCATCCTAGCCATGCAAAGTGATGCCCTGCCTACTTGCGTCAAGAAAACACAAAATCTGTGCTGAGGTGGATGCACTTTTTGTTTACCAAATCTTTGTTATCGTAGGAGAAAGAGGGATTGGAAGGAGTCCTCCTCCTTCACAGGCCGCGAGCGTGCCTGGCAGCAGAGGAGCAGCAGCACTTCTCGCCGGGGCAGCGAGCCCCAGCCCCCCGCACCCCCAGCGCTCCGACACCAGAGCGGGGGGACAGAAAGGCAGAGCCAAACGCCAGGTTTGCTCACAAAGAGGAGGCTGGCCATCTTGCAAGTGAGGGAGCCCACATCAGAGCTGAAGAATCTGCAGGGTGCGTTTTAGAGCCGGCCGGTATATAACCTGGGCATCCTGAGGGAGTCTATAAATCGAGAGAGCTGACAAAGGGGTCAGGAAAACATTCATGTTTTTTGTGTTCACTCTTCCAGCATCTTTCTGGCAGAACTGGTTAGACTTGAGCTTGCAAAAAACCTCAAATCTGTCAAACATTTGATCAAAGCAGGAGTGATCTGCTCTGCTCGAAATCACACAAATCCCTCAGCGTGCTTCAAAAGGGAAGAGGAATCAATGGCATAACTTTTTTTTTTTAAAATCTTTTCCCTTTCTAATCCCTTAGAAGGCAGTGTATGTCTACCAAACCTTCTTAAATATCCCCGAGTTACTGCCAGTAAGTTCAGTATCATATTAGGCAAATATAATAAAAGGAAAACTACATGTCTAGCTCTTCTCCGCTCCCTCCCAGGTGATCTGTTTGTGCTGCTCTTCAGCTCCCAGCCCGCTGCTTCTCCCCCCCATCGGAGGCTGCTGGTTTACACCAGTAACAAGAAGGCAGCAGAGGCAGAAGAAAAGCTTTCTTTTCTCATCAGCGAAGCTTTCTGATCTGCTGTTGTAAAAAATCTCCAAAGGTGACCTAAGGTTTTCAGAGATGCATTTTGTGGACTTCAAAACATGAGAACACACTGAAAAACCACCTTTCAATATTGCTCTTCAACTTCAAGAAGGAAAGGTCTGGCTGGAAAATCACCAAGAGTTAGGATAGAAATCATCACCTACCACTACCCCGCATGCAATATTTATAAAGGAGTCCGACTTACTGCCTCTTCCCCAAATTAAAGACTTTATCCATGTACCTCAGGGTAACATGATGAAACCTCCACCGCTCCACGGTCTCACCCAGGGGCAAGGCAAAGGGCTGCTGCTGCCCGACGCTAACGCTACCCAACGGTTCTAACCCTCTGCAATACCTCGAGGCTTAAAAACTAAGAAGAGGCACAAATACCATTTAAATTAATGATACAACACAATCAGGAGAGGGAACAAAACAGCACACGGTTAAGAGCCACGCGAGCAGCCCAGGCCGCCTCCTCTCCCCCAGCAGGCGTCTCGCGGCCCGGCCCGCACGCCTCGCAGGACGGAGCCCACCCTGCCGTAAAAGGAGGAGCGCCGGCCGGGACCCGCCAGCCGACACGAGGTGCTCCACCAGCAGTTTATCTGGCAGAGAGAGCCAAGACTCCACTTACTATAAATCAACAACAACTTGCTGACTTAAACAAGCATCTGGTATTTACTCCGGCTGCACAAGCCAATCTATTTGGCCTTACACAGGATTGGCGTAGAGCAAAGAGACGTATCCGTAAATGATTTACTTGGGAAAAATATGCCAAACTTATCTATTAATATTATTTGCCTGTCCTATTAAGGCCACAGGATGCTGTTGTCCTCTATGGCACAGCCCCGATTCTTCCTTGAACCAGCGCTGGCAAGTTCACTCCTGGCATGCATGATGAATGAGGGAAAATGCAACGCTGAAAACGCGCAGGATAATGCTAGAATTAATCCAGAAGCAGCGCTCTGACAACAGCAGGCGAGCGCCCATCAGTCTGGGACCTCCGCGCGACAGCGGGAGGACGTGAGGCGCGGGAGGGGAGGGTCACGGTGAGACAAGCCAGAGACAGAAGCCTCCGTCCCCATCGCTGGCCACCAGCTGGGAACCGCAGTGCCTCCCTCGCTCAGGGATGCCATGGCCTGTAACGCCGGTTGCCAACGGTGCGCCAGTGCACCAAATACGTTATGTTAGCACCGAGGAAGAATGATGATTTGTACTGGTTCATCACCCCAGAAAAGAAGTCAGATGTGCGATTTACAGGCACGTTACGTTACCAGACATTTAGGCTTCCACAACGAAGACTCTCACTCTGTCCCCAAGGAATCACGACTCTAACTGTGGTTAGAAACCAGACATTGCTGACCCACAGCCCAAGGAAACAGCTGGGCTTGCTGCTCCTTCTACGTGCCAGTTACCAAGGAAAGATGGTGCAAAGACCTTGCTGTTGAAAGGGAACATCTGGGCTCACACTTATCTCTGGAGAGCCTGGCACTCCAGAGCTGGACGTGAAGGAGAAGTTGCTTTCTCAAGGGTTGGGGAGAAGGATCACGGACACCAAGGTCAGAGCACAGCCCTTGATGGACAGACAGTTCTGCCGTTTTGCAGGTATTGAGAGAAGTGACCCTCTGAAAGGGATGCAAGAGAGGAAAAGCATCCCCTCAATTTGGAGCTGTGGGTCTGAGACCACAGGAGGGCTGATGGGAACTTAAAGCACCCTTGAGAGTCAAGAGAAGCAGCAGGAACTGACTCTCTGGGGTCTCCTGAGGTCACTGAGATAATCAGGCATTGAAAAGGATTGTGTTTCGGCAAACTGGTTCGGCTACTTTTTGAGGGCAATCTGTAAGGTGGAATGACAAACACAGAACAAAGAAATCAACTTATCCTTGAATTTTCTCCTTTCCTAGTTCAAGAGACTTTAGAAACCCATCACGCTTTTTCCCCTCCACTCTTGCCTCAGTCCCCTTGGCTTGGCAGGCTCCCCAAAGCAAAGCTGCTTAACCTCTTTCAACAGGAGGAAAACCTATCATGATGCTGCAAATGCCTCCAGCACTTACATGGTAATGACTTGCCTGCTGATGAGAGAAATTGTGTCACCAGCATTTGACTCTCAGGCTACTTTGGTAGAGAACGCCAACACCTGGAGGTGGGAGTGATTTGCCCTCCTCTCTGTATGCATTACCTTCAGCCGCCCGTTTGAAGAAGACTTTGCAGCTACCACAAGTGAGGGCTCCGTAGTGGCACCCAGATGCTTCATCTCCACAGATCAGGCAAGTCTTTTGAGGTGGAAAGTAATAGTCAATGGCCAAGGCATGTTCACGGCCAGTCTCCAACCTGCAGCGTAGAACAGAAAGAGAACAAGGGACAGGGTCAGCAAGTGGGGTTAGGACCAGCTACGGGTGAGCACAGCGGACAGCGCTTAGGAGAACGTTCATGGCAAAACCCCAAATTTCGGTGATGGGACACGCCAAGCACTGATCAGAAAGGAGGCAAGCAACGACTAAGCCAAACCTCGCTCTGACCACGCAGAAGACCAACACTTGTTTGATCAGGTCTACGGAGAAGCTCCTTTTTCCAAAGGCATGGCAGCAGGAGAGGTGCTTCTCAGAATCACAAGTCAACGCACATCCAGGCAGTCTGGGGAGCAATCGCATTTTAAGTTATTTGCTAAAACTGGCTTTTTGTCAAAACGCCAGATGAGGCCATTAGTTTCTAACAGTCAGTAGGTCACCGCAACTTTTTGGTCAAAATTAGATCTGCTTTTGGTTTCTGGTATTGTTTGAAAGCTTGCAGGCAAGGTCTTAGAAATTATAAAGAGTGAATGTAACAGTGCCGGGACTCCTTAGAAAAAAATCTTTATACTCAGAAAAGCCACATTTGGGCCCACAGGGTGAATAAACCCAAAATCCACTGAAACAGACAACAGCCCTGGGAGAGAGGGCAGCCAGAGCCCATGCTGTCAACCTTCTGAGAAGTCTTGCGACTTCGGGAGAGAGGGGTCAAACACCAACACAGACCCAGGGCAAGGGAACGCTGTCCTGCTTCTCAGTCCCTCTGCCCCCAGCTGCCGCCCGCGGCCAGCGCCCCTCCGCGTCCCGCCGGCAGCTCTGCCCGCCTGGATACCACGCACGCAAGGGGCCACCTCGCACACCGAAAGAGCGGCTGGCAGCATCGAGGTTGAATTAAGGAAAGACATGCGTGCTAATCACCAGCTTTTCCGCTGGTGTTTCCTTCTCTGCGGTAAGTTATAATGCACGGCGATGCTGCCCTGCACTTCATTTCAACCAAAGACTACGGTGCGGTTTGCCTTTCACGTGGGTCAGGGCTCTTTGCTGAAGCACGGCTGTCTTTTCTAAGCCACTCACACCTTGAGAGTGAAGCATGAAATGGGACAGCTACGGGTGAGATCAAAACCCAGGCTCACCTCCCTCCTCTGATCTTGCTCTCAGTTGTGTCCTTCAAGAACGCCGCTATCGTCTACTCCTCGTAGGGGAGCTAGGCAGATCCTACGTAAATTGTAGGTTAATAACTGGAGCAGCAGTTTTATCCTTTGCTCTTAAGGCAAGAAACATTTTGAGTCATTCCTCATCTTTCCAACAGGAGCAATCAGAATCAGTGACTCATCTCTAGATGCTGCTCAACTATCCTTCCCTGACAATCTCGATTTCCAAGGCTTTTCTTGAATTACTGATCAAATGGAGGAAATACAGTCGGTTGCAACGTATCTGCCATAGTTAAGTCCTGATGCAACAAACGCCTCCCTGCCTCGCCCCCCCCAGCATCCCGCCCGTCCTCCCGCCCACTCCCACTGCCCCGGCCCCGGGCACCCCCGCCCCCCGTGCCAGCTCTGCACGAGCACCCTACGCTGCACAGCCCTCGCGCTCAGCTCGAGGTGCTGCTGTAGAGCGGTCACGACTAAGAAATAACCGGCAGCAGATATAAAAGCTTTGCTAAAAATGCCTTATTTATCCAGCAATTTTTTAGAAACCAGCAGTACCAGACCTTTCCTCTAATGACGCGTTACCTTTCCTCTCCTCCCTATGCAATCAGAAATGTGAAAAGGGCTAATTTATCTTTTCCCACAAGACCCTCCATACCGTGCTTTCCCTATTCTTTGCACTATGTATTTCAGATCGGAAATGAGCAAAAGCAGCTCTCACCGGAGCAGCTGTTGTGGTGACAGAAGCAGACCCCCCAGAAGACCTTGGAGTATTTTTGAGGCTTAATTATTTAAAGCTGCCAAGTAGGTTAGCAATTAAGGCTTGAGTGGCTTTTTAAAGAGCTGTTTCTCCATGAGAAGAGTTGTGCAAGTACAAATACACCTGCATGCACGTGTGCGTCTAGCGTACCTATATACGTGCACCTGCCTAGGGAGGGTGCTGAGCAGAGCATCGCAGAGGCGCTGGGGCTCTCCTTGCAAACCCCTCTCTGCTCGGCCAGTCTCGCTCCAGCCGCCCACTTCGGGATGGAAATCAGAGGGAGCTGGCAGCCACGACAGGTTAATCCCGGCTGTGAGACAGGCTGGGCCTGGGTGTAACGCTCCTGCCGCCGGGGCTGCCACAGGGGAGCATTCAGCCCCCACGTCCCACCACCTCCCGAGACCGATGCTTCGGCAGCTGCGGAGCAGCTCGGCTGCAGGCTGAGCCCTGCAGCACCAGCGCGATTTCCAGCTCGCTCCTGCACCTTTACTGCCGGCAGCCACTGTCCGCAGAGCAGAAGGATTTGCCTGGGAACCCCCTTGATTTTAAAAAGATGCCAATTTGCCTTTTCCTTTTTATTTTTAGAGGGAAAATTGCAAGAAAAACATAACTGAAAACATGGGCGAGTCAGAGCGAGCTATCAGAATGGTACCTTTAACCATCTATTTCCAGTTTCCAAGAGACCTTTTAAGGGCGTTCTCAAAATCCGTAGGTATAACACTGCAACGAGCCGAAAAGACAGCTTACGGCGGCTGCAGGGGCGTGCGAACTGGCAGCATTCTGGGCAGCGCCCGACGCCCACCTGCACGGGGGTCCCGGCGACCAGCAGCGTTTCCAGCTCCTCCGCCCCTGCGGGCTCACGATCTGCTGCTCAAAGCTTTCCTCCAAGCAGAAGTTTTGCTCTGCCGGTCCCTGCTGATTGCGCCCGCCCCACAGAGCCACAGGAATACTGAGGTCTGGCAAAAACAAGCGCCGAGCGCGTTGCGGAGGGCTCCAGAATACGAGACCGTAGTTTGCACAATATGTGGCAAGTGTCACGCTGCCTGAGAAACCCAAAGCAGGGCGATAGCGTGGCGCGGGCAGACACAACTGCTGCAGCAGTGACGTCGGGCAGAGATTCCAGCCCTGGAGCATGGCTCGAAGGCCAAGGTCAGGGCTGCTCACAAAGGAGCGTGGCAGTTTTCAGGGGGGAGAAAAAACAACCTCAGTATCTCTCTTACGGCTGTAGGAAGAATTTTGCTGTCGTTTCAGAAGGGTTCTTTAAGGAAACGAATCGAGTCTGTTGAGCTCCTGCCACATGCAAATACTTCTGTAGAGCAGGAACTACAATTTCGCAATGCGCTTGCTTGTCAATAGTTAATTTCACCAAACAGCCCAGATTTTACAACACCCAGAAAACCAAGGGCAATCACGGATAAGAGAAAAGTCAACCACTTCTCATAACCCACAAAGAAAGTTTCCACCTCAGCAACAGACGGCACACGCTACCCAAAAGCGGCCAAGGCACCACGGCCCCCCGCCGCTGCCCAGAACTTTGCACTCCTACGGCAGACCACAAAAAAAGTTGTGTTTGCTGCTGTATCTGCACGGCTTCTGCAGTCCATGCCTACCTGCTCGAATAAGATTAATTCATTAAGCAATTCACCATGCTAATATAACACGATGCATAATTCTTACACTCCCTCTGCTTTCCATCAGCCTGGCGTAACAGAACAACCACAATTTCCATCTCCTTCACTCTTAAATTTGACTGCATTTTCCATGTTAAAATCACTCCAACAGTTGCACGAGAACAGCCCACCAGACCGAAGTGAAACCCTGCAGCGTTGTTCTCGACGCGGCTGTGCCCTGACGGCTGGCACAGCCTCCTCGCGGCATCGGCTCACGGCATGAACTGCTCGGCGCCAGGGTTTGCACCGGCGGGCTTGGAACCCGCTCCGGGATTTAGCTGCCTTGTCCAGGAACACGTCTGCTAAAGCATGGTGCAGTGGACTTGCAAACACGGGGACTCAGCTGGACTGCCCCTCGGAGAATCCCTAAGCAGGATTTGCCCGCCCGCCCGCGGCAGCTGCCACGCACCCCAGCTGATCCCAGCCCGACCGGCCATCAGCCAGGAATGCACGGAGCAGGGCACTTTCGGTCACACACCTTGGCCTTTGGCAAAGTGCGTGCTG